AACAAATCAGTCATCTTCTTCTGCTTGAATTTGTCGTCCTTTTGGTTGATCCGTCGCTGCAGCCAGTCAGGGTGAGCAACGCGTGGGACCGGGTTCCGAATCTTCTGAAGCGCAGCAGGGATGGTAATGAGCTTCTGCACCACGGACCCCAGACGCTCAAGATAATAATCCCAGTCAATGACGGTACGAGGATCTATATCTCCGGGGTCTTCCTTGAGCCATTTTCGCAGGAAGAAGCGCTTGACACTCTCCTCTGCAGAGAAAATTGTCACAGGAATAGCTCGTTCAGTAACAGGGGTGTTCCTCGGCCTTGACGAGATAATGTACTTGCAGTTGAGACCCTTGTCTTTAACCATCTGCTCGCCCAAGAACTCTGCGAGGCGTTTTGCAGTGGTGATAGATGTCGACTTTTGATTTCCATATTCCTCCAAAGTCTTGGACATACTTCGGTTCTCCGAAATGAGATCAATCAGCTCTTCGTCAGCTAAAGTTGCCCCCTGCTCGTAGAGGACATCCAACCATCGATCAGCAACTCGAGCCACGGCGGCATACGTCTCGGCAAGGTTCGTCCCATCTAAGAAGAACTTGAAAATCTGGGTTTGGAAGATCTTGATGAGCTTCAACTCTCCTCTTCGCTTGACTTCAAATCCCTTGAGTTCCGCTAGAGACCCATCGTGGTTGAAGACGGCATATCGCTTCTTTAAGTTCTTGTCTTCTTCCTTTGAGGTCGGCAGGATCATAGCTCGGTAGGGCCCGTCAACTTCGAAGAAAATGGAATTTTCACTGTGAGTCTCATACTTGAAAGTCGATGGGTCGGTGAGCGCCTGGTACTGGTGATTTGTGTAACGAGCGTGAACGAGGTGATTAAGCATGACACAAGGGTACGAAATTCCCAACTTCTTCCCATTCTTCAGAGTGAAGGTGAAGTTTTCAGGGAAGGTACCGGGAAGCATACACCAAATACCATCGGTATCAAGCTCTAGAGGTCGGCCGATGCGCTCAACGAGCTCTCGTGCCATCTGAATGATATGGGCACCCGTCAAACAGGTAACACCAGCCATTTCCATGGAATACCATCGCGATCCCTTTCGCATGACATAGCCGTAGAAACTGTTCAGAATGACCTTGTGTGCAAGTTGGAGTGAATCGTATAAAATAATCATCTTCTTGGCCTCGTCAATTTCAGCTGCAGAAGCACCTGACGACTGCAAAGAATCAGTCTTGTTTTTCCAGACCTTCTGCTTGCCCTTGAAATCATATCGCCGATCACGGAAGTCGCGCACTGTATCGACGTAAAATGGGTTTTCTCTCTGGCAGATAATGGCCTCTCGTTCCATCGTCTTACTGTCGTGAATTTTGTGGTAGATCTTTTTGCTGTAATCCTGGAGTCGCTTCTTGATCACTCCGGCTTGTTCCTCGATACCGAGATCGCCGAATGACCTCATTGGGGAATTCTTGTATTTACCGGGGAATCGTTCATTCGCGGTAGCACGTCGAATCATGTTGTATTCGTCGCGCTTCGCAGGCAAGAACTCACCACGCCATGCCCACGGCATTCGTCTGTCACAGGTCTTTCCGGGGCGGTTGAAATCGCATGCCGCACAGTCTGATTCGTTGATCAAAGAATCTGGTTGCAATCGATTGGTGATCATGATATTGGGGTACATAGAGGCGACGTCCAAGTGGTAGATGAAAGGCACCTCGTTTCGAACAGGGTTGTTCTGCAAGTCGAGTAGACGTTCTGCGATCTGAGCCTTGACTTCTTCGAAGTTCGTCACATCGTCCATGGACTTCTTCTCTTCAACCTCAATACTGAACCTGAGGGCATGGTCTAGATCTCGAATAAGCTCCTCCATAGCCTTGGGGTCGACATTGAAGGCGACCGGGATGTCACTTCGGAAAACACCCGCCTCGATACTTTCGACGTGACCACCAACATAGGTTTCCGACTCAAGCAAATGGCCATCATAAAAGGCTTCGGGTGGGTCCTTGTGCTTGTTGGGAAGAACAATCTCATGTTGATAGGCTTGGACCATGAGCAACATCTCGCAGAGAGTTCCAGTTCCCTTTCGCAGTGTTTCGTCGGCATTCAAAGGAATGATGGTACACAGGGAGAAGATGAAGGGGTGCACATATTTCATGTATAGGTAGTAGGTTGCGACAGCATCGGAAACTGAGTACTCGGCGAGAGTTTGGGGCCGTTCACTCGCATATGGAGTCATCAGTTCGGGGTCAAGTTCATCTGGGTCGTAGCCGAGCTTGGCGACAGTCACAGCTTTCAAGCCACGACTTCCTTGCGGCAGATAACTATCACGGTTCACCCACGCAAAACAATCCATATGCACACAGTAATCGGCCTGGTAGATGTCTTCGCTGTTCTTTCTGAAGCCGATCTCCGAGTACATGTCAATTCCGTTGACGCTCGCTCTCGCTTCCACGAACGGCCAATCGAAAAAGTCACCGTTGTAGGTAGCAATAACAGTGGGTTTGGCGATCTTGATATGCTCGAAAAAGCGCTCCAATACACCCCTCTCGTTGGGCTCGTTGAAAATAATGAAAGGTCCGTTGTATTCAGGCTTTGGTGTGTATTCGAAGTCGTTAATATCCTCGGAAACGATTTCTCGGTTGGTGATCAAGAATCCTTGCCCGTCAATCATGTAGGAAATCATCATGACCTGATCGATCACTGCATCAGGAAACTTGAGGGGTAGTTTTGTGGTTTCGATATCGAAGGCAAGCACCACAGGGTCGGCACGCTGAAGTCGTTCTTCTAGGCAGGATAACGAAATCTCGCCGTGCTTTGCCTGCACATTATACCACTTTCCGATGCGAATATCTGTAGACTGTGAGCCTGGTATTCTGACATCCGAAAATGAAAATCACGCACCCTTGTCAATGCACACCCGGACATGATACGGAACATCGTACTCGCGAATATCAACAATAAAATCACTCGCTTGCGTGTTGGCATTAGGTCGTTGTTCATTAATTATTTCGTCGTCAAAAAGGTCGAAACCGGTGGTGGCACTGTAGAAATAAGTCCCAATCAGAAAATGACGATATCAAGGCCACCAAGGCGGAAGACAAACCTAGACATTTCGACGTATGCGTCCATTACACCTGCATTCTTCTTGTTCTTCTCGGCCAGAGGAAGAAGAGTTCTCCGCACTTCAAGCAGGTTGCTCACATTGGCAAAGTTCATCCTGATGAACGTCCTCCGGTGTCCAAGAAGATGATTTGGGAGATTCAGATCTTCCTTGTCAAGTCGCTTAAAGCTCTTGATCAAACCCTCGAATGACCTCTTAGACCATTCCTCCACTTCCATCTCATGGCCCTTTTTCACCGCAATCAGGAAATAAGGCTCGTATTCGACCGTCGCTTTGAAGCTGTTCCCGTCGTCTTGAAGAAAATAGAAGTCGACACCGGCGCGGCCACCTTGCACATTGGAGTCCTCTATTGTCGTACTGTGCATGTTGACGAGCCAGCCTGCCCTTGTTTCGCCGGACTCGAAACGCGGGAAACCAAGTTGTTCATCGATACTGTTGGCCAGCCGGATGGCCTCGAATTTCTCATCTTGAGATGTTGCTTCGCTTATGCGCAGGGAACCGAATTCGACTGTTTTTGTTCGTCGGGGACCAGAGGATGCAGCAGCTCCTCGGAACTTGTTCCCAAATTTGCTGGGTTTCCGCGACGGCATTGCGACACTGTCGCCCGGCCGGGCTGCTCAGATCAAATCGGAAGGCAGGGCGGGCAGATGGCGAGGAAATATCTCAGGTAAAATGAGTAAAACAAAGATAATATCGTCAGGGAGGAGAAGACGCGGGGGCAGGAAAGCAATCCTGCGACCAATGTCTGGAAGAGGGATCAGAAATGGCCCTGCGACTTGCACCGATCGAGGCAATCTCAATCACTTCTTTCGACGCGTCCGCGTCTACGCGTGGCTGAGTCAGCGATCTTCCGGAATAACTATCTGAATCGGTCTGCGCCGGATCATCAATACGCCACTTGATATTGACGGTGGTCCAATAAATTGTACCTCGTTTGAAGACGGCAAGATAATAACGATGTCGGACAATCCACGAGAGCCCGGCTCCTCCGAGGAGCCTGGCAGCCATCTTCCTGCCAGTATCCCGAACACCGATCCGAAGAAACCCAAGCACGACTTCCCCAAGTCGCAAGTCGGAAAGTTATGGGATGCATTCGGTGAACCCGAAGACCGCGTGAATGCTCTCTCAAATGCGACGTACAAGCCCCGTGGCAAGGATCCCAAAGATATCTCATATTCGGATGTCGTCGGCACAGTCTCTATGTCTGAGATGTCTTCATTCCACAAAGCACCCTGCGCACGAGAATCGCTATTGACCGGAATTGGTCTTGGATTCGGCGCTGGTGGTATGCGAGGTGTCTTTGGAGGTACATTCATGACTTCTAGTTATTGGAAATTGATTGAGGACTAATTCATTGGCATAGGTATGCGCTCATTATGGTCCGCTGGAAATTGGGCAGTCGGAGTATTCGCCGTTACCTCGCTAGCAGCCTACGAGCTCTGTCGGAGACAACGTGTTGAGGAAATGCACGGAATGAAGCAAGCGGTCGATTTGATGAAGGAATTGAAAGATAAGAAGCAAAGAGACAAGGAAAAGGCCGCCGAGGAGGCCACCAAGCGTGCGGAAGAGGATCGGCGGAGGAAGAGTTGGACGAACCTCTCCAACTACAAGTTCTGGTAGCGTTGCTTAATTACGAGCTGGAGTCACGGTGTTGGTGGGATATATTCAAGATTGTTTTCAAGATTGTATATTACCCTGTGCTAGGACGGCTGCACATGTGGCATCATGTCATTAAGTCATCTCTGTGTATCATAGTTCCCCCATGTCCATATTGCTAGTCGAGTCATCTCAAAATTCGCAATGTTTGTTCCGAATACCCGAAGACGCCCGGTTTGTTTAAACCCCCAAAAATGCGATCAAGCAAAGTGTAAAGATATGGGATTGAGTCCCCGCTTAAATGTCAAATTTGACTCGCTTCTGAATGGCGCCGTGGTGTACACGGTGAATCTTCTCCAAGGCAATGTCTTCGTTCCTCCGTGCTCGTCGCTTCTCGCGAGCGTCTCGTGCTTCGCGCGTCTTCCACTCGGCGACTTGTTTCTGTCGTTTATGGGACCGAGCCGCCGCCATGGCCGCTGTAGGTTTAAATCCCACGCCATTGATCCCATAACCGTCATCGGTCGGGTCTGTAGGATTATGACCCGTTATCTCATCATCATGCCATGTCATGGAATATTTCGATGAGACATCTGCGAGAGGGGGTGATCGTCGTTGTTTTCGGTTCTTGGAAGGTGATATGGGAGTGTGTTGTTTTCGAGGTGACGGCGCAGAGTTGTTTTTAGAAGGCGATAGTGTTGTGGGAGCCAAGGCGCTCTCTGTTGAAATCTCAGTCGACTGTTCGGTCGGCGGCTGGTGGCCTCGAACTTCACGTAGCTCGGCGTTATGGGTCGATAAGGTTTCCGGCATAGTGTTCGTATAGAGGTGGCTTTCGGGTGGACATTTTTCCTGCGAGGACTGTGGAGTGGGTTCTTGGTGGAAGTCGCGCTGTAGTAGCGGCTCTGGGAAACGGTCTCCTCGGATGGCCAATTCTCCAAACCGCCCTGTCACTGCCGCTCGAGGGCTTTGTCGTCCAAGCTCAATGTCCTCGCGAAGCCGAGCCTCTTGTAGACTACAGGCGGATACTGTAGATGTGGGAGATGCTGATGGGCTGTAGAAGTCAGACTCAGAAGGCTCTCGCTTTCGCTTGGGCGAGAAGTATCGAGGGAGGTCTGCCGACATCATCGCGGGGCTGAAAGCGGACAAGGTGGTGGCGTCACTGCCGACCTCACCTATATGTAAAGACCTCAGAGGTTGGAGAATCAACTCCATTCACTCGTCTCAATGAGATTTGAGTGAGTTCATGGTATAGCAGCCCTCTCATATACTTGAGTGCGGAGACCTCGAGAGGGGCAGATCACGCTCGGAAGTGAGTTGAAGCGGGAGCCAATGATTGTCGTACAACCCTTGAGAAAAGAGCAGGCCCGCGCACAACTGATCAGGGAGAGAAAATAAAGGTCAAGGTCAAGTGAAAGAGAAAGAGGATCGAATTTCATATAGCACGAGATGTAGCAACTCTTATTGCCAACAAAGGCCTAAGGCCTAAATCAATAATTTACAGATCCCCGAGCCCATCGAGTCGTGAACAAGATAGAAAAGAAAGAATAAAACCCAACGCCATGACGAAGACTCCCAGTCCCAAGAAAAAGCGCTTTTATGCCTTCTGCTTCTTCTTCGAAGGCTCAGCATCGGTGTCGTGCTTGCGCTTCTTCTTCTTCTCAGTCTCGCCCTCGCCGACATCAGACTTGCGCTTCTTCTTCTTGTCACTCTTGTCGGACTTCTCCTTCTTCTCCTTCTTCTCCTTCTTGTCCTTCTTCTCCTTCTTGGAGGCAGTGGCATCAGCATCCTCCATCTCAGCGTCGCTCTCATTGACATCAACGTCAATGCCAGCGAGGACGGCATCCATGGCGGATTTCTGTAAATCAGGATTAGTTATGAAATATTATCAAGAGACTAGGGGGGATGAACATACCATGGCGACCTCGTTCTTGGTGGGGGCAGCACCAGTGGAGTAGAACTCCAGGCGCTCCTCGACCTGATGCTTCAAGGCCTCACCGAACTTGGTGGTGGGAGTCTCGGAGAAGTTGTCGATACGGGAAGCAATGGAACACTTGTTCGCAAGGAAACGCGAAATACGGCCCTTGTTCTTGGGTCCGGCCCGGCCAATGAAGGAAGAGTGGTACAGGAGACCATACTTGGGGGTATTACCCTTGGTCTTCAAGGCACGGAAAAGAGCCTTCTCGGCACCGAGAATCTGGACGGTGGAGGCGGGGTACTTGGACAGGTTGGTCAAGCTACCGGCGTGGGAGATCAGACGGGCAGCGACGACCTCACCGATCAAAGCAGCAAGGTTAGGCGCGACAACGCTCATCTTGGAGACGAGGTACTGGTAAAGCGACTTGCGGTACTTAGACAGGCTGACAACGCGCTCGGCGAAAGCAATGACGTTCTCCATGTCGGTCTCAGAGATCTCCTGACCCATGGAGTGCTTGGCAGCATCAATGATGTTCTGAGCAACACCCTTGTCATCCTCAACGAGGGCGGCCAAGTCGTGGAGCTTGTCATCGTTCAAAGTCTTCTTATCCTGGACAAAGAGGGCAACCTCAGCGTAGCGCTGGTTCTCGGAGACAACCTTGTACAGCTCGGGGAAGTGCCACGAGTACCATTCGCGAACACGCATGGAGAAAGTGTTGATAGCCTTGTCAAGCTGATCAAGGATGGCAATGGCCTGGATGATGTGGTTATCGTCACGGGTGACGGAGAACTTAACCTTGGCACGGGAGTAAGCGTGACCGAGACCGAGCTGGGCAGTGTCCAAGTCACCCTCGCGGAGCTGGCTCAGCAGCTTGGTGAAGTGCAGACGAAGACCACGGAGAAGGTCCTGGACGACCTCACTGGTGTCACCGGTCTCGCAGTCCACGAAGGGGAAAGCGGACTTGACACTTCCAGCAAGACCCTTGTCCAACAGACCCAGAACGACCTTCTTCTTCTTGCTCGGCTTGGGGAGATTCAATTCAAGGAAAGAAACCAGAGTCTCGGAGGCAACACCCTCAGAGACATCGTTGATTTCACCAAGGGCCTGCTTGTTGTTTCTGTGTTGCGTTAGCGAACGGCTCGAGGCAAAATTCTCCCTGTGGGATTTTCATCGCAAAAAACGTACTCGAAGGGCAGGAAACTGGTTAGGTCAACCATCTTGCCAAACTTGGCAAGGTCGTTAACACCTTCCTGGACTTCCTTCAAACGGTTGCCCACAGCGTCGCCCTGGAGGGCGACCTTGAAAAGCGAGTAGCCCACAGGGCTCTCGAACAGGAGGTAATCGGCCATAGTGCTGAATCCTTAGGTCAAATGAATCGCGATAATGACCAGAGGATTAATTTGTAGCGGCAAAGGCCCACAGACGACTATCGGCGTAGTGGGTTTGGGACGGACGTTCAAGAAGGCGGACGGGCAAAAGTGAAGAATTCGGAAGCTCTTTTTTTTTCAACGCTAGTGCAAATCGGTAATGTGGGCTTTTTGCCAAAAATCACGCTCACCGCCTTGGTCCAGCGCGGGCATCCAAACTCCTGTGTGCTAACGAGCTCTCACTCATTGCCCCATTACATTTGTTTTCTTGGGCCGAGCTCGCTGTCATTCATTTTTGTCTACAGACATGTCGGCAACTCAGCTACTGAACCCCAAGGCCGAGTCCCGGGTATGCATTTATCACCCCCCTAAGCTTGACCCCTCCGTGGCCCGCACTAACATTTCATCTAGCGGAGAGGAGAGGCCCTGAAGGTGAACATCGCCGCTGGTGAGGGTCTCCAGGATGTTCTCAAGTCGAACTTGGGTCCCTCTGGTACCTTGAAGATGTGAGTGTCGATAATTTTCTAACGAATGCAATAGCTAACAAAATCAATAGGCTGGTGGACGGTTCTGGCGGAGTATGCATAACGTCCCTTATCCTCTGGAATTTCTCGGATCATGTTATCTAATGCGGAGGTACTATAACAGATCAAGCTGACCAAGGATGGAAATGTTCTGCTGCGTGAAATGGTTTGTCAAAAGGCCCAGCTGTTTCTTAATGGAGCATGAATGCTAACTCCTGGTAGCAAATTCAAAACCCTACGGCTGTAAGACACCACTGCCACGAAACGTCCCCGATCCTCTCTGATAATGTTCCAAGGTTATGATTGCCCGTGCTGCGACAGCGCAAGATGACATCACAGGTGATGGCACAACGTCCGTTGTCCTCTTGGTGGGAGAGCTCCTGAAGCAGGCGGATCGATTCATTACCGAGGGACTGCACCCTCGTGTTGTCACCGATGGCTACGAGATTGCGAAGAACGAGGCTTTGAAGGTATGCAGAAGAACTGAATAAATTGATGAAGCAGTCTCAGTCTAACACGGTGCTTGCAGTTCCTCGACAAGTACAAGCTCGAGCGGACTGTTGACCGCGAGCTGCTCCTCTCTGTTGCTCGCACTTCTCTCTCCACCAAGTTGAACCTTGCCCTCGCCGAGAAGCTCACCCCTGACATTGTCGATGCCGTGCTCGCCATCCACCGTGCCCCCGAGAAACCTGATTTGCACATGATTGAGATTATGACAATGCAACATCGGTCCTCATCCGATACCCAGCTCATCCGTGGTCTGGCTCTGGACCACGGTGCTAGACACCCCGACATGCCCAAGCGCGTGGAGAATGCTTTCATCTTGACATTGAACGTCAGCTTGGAGTACGAGAAGTCTGAGATTAACTCCGGCTTCTACTACTCCACTGCCGAACAGAGAGATAAGCTAGTGGAAAGCGAGCGCAAGTTTGTTGATTCGAAGCTGGCGAAGATTGTGGAGCTCAAGAAGCTGGTCTGCGGTAACGACCCCAAGAAGGGCTTCGTTGTGATCAACCAGAAGGGTATCGACCCTCTGAGCTTGGATATCCTTGTCAAGAACGGCATCATGGCTCTCCGCCGCGCCAAGCGGAGAAACATGGAGCGTCTGCAGCTGGTGTGCGGTGGTGTTGCCCAAAATAGTGTGGAGGACATGACCCCCGATGTTCTCGGTTGGGCTGGTCTTGTTTACGAGCACCAGCTTGGTGAGGAGAAGTTCACTTTCGTTGAGGAGGTCAAGGACCCCAAGTCCGTGACTATCCTCATTAAGGGCCCTAACGCACACAACATCGCTCAAGTCAAGGATGCCGTCCGCGATGGTCTTCGCTCCGTTTACAACACTATTGTTGATGAATGTGTCATTCCCGGTGCTGGTGCCTTCCAGATCGCCTGTGCTTCCCATTTGAAATCAGAGAATTTCCGCGACAGCGTCAAGGGCAAGGCCAAGTTTGGTGTTGATGCTTTCGCCGACGCTCTCCTCATCATTCCCAAGACTCTGGCCGCCAACGCCGGTCATGATATCCAGGATTCTCTGGCCTCGATTCAGGACGAGCGTGCTCAAGGCAATGACGTTGTCGGCCTGGACCTGACTACCGGTGAGCCCATGGACCCCGTCCAGGAGGGTGTCTTCGACTCTTTCCGTGTTCTTCGGAACTGCATTGCCTCCAGCACTGGTATCGCGTCGAACCTGCTTCTCTGTGACGAGCTGCTGAAGGCTCGCCAGATGAGCAAGGCGAGCGGACCTGGTGGTATGGAAGAGTAATGTGCTCCCGGTTGATGAGGTTCGGTGTTTCATGTAAAGATTTAGATGGACCCAGGACTTATGGCTTCGGCATTTGAAAGTCCAGTCAAAAAATGCACACATTAATTGCAACTTATTTACTTCAAGCCGTAGATGGTAGGCGTAGATGTCTCTCAGTCCATCATTACATAGCATCTCTGGTCTACAAGCATATGCCGAACCTCTCTATCAATAGTGTTCGACAGGCGAGGAAATAGGGGTCATTATTATCATTACTAAGTTACATTAGACATTATTGTACATGCAATCACACTGCAGAGGCTATTCCTCGTCCGAAGCTCTCTGGCTGGCATCGGAAACAATTGGAGATGGGAGAATGAATCCATCCTCTCTCACAGGATCCTCTAATGACAGTTGATGGACTTTAGCCCACTTCCAGACATCCTCTTTCCGTATGAGCATTGTCGGAACCTGAGCCGGGCCACCATCTCCGCTTAGACGAGGCGTTTTACGCTTCCTCGGTGTCTCTGGCTGAACAACGCCCATGAACTTGATGGCGGTGATCACGTCTTCTGCCAACATGCCAGTAGCCTGGCCGACCTCTTCAACGGTCATAGTCTCACGCGGGGGTCTCTTTTTGGAGGCTTTGGAGAAATTGCTAGGCTTTGAGTTTTCGCCTTCGCCACGTTTGCCGCATAGCAGATATCTTGCGATCCGCTCGGCCCAGAAGCGATTGTAGCTTTTTTGGCCTAGGTCACTGAGAGGCTTCTCTGGCCCACCAATGTAACCACCGAGGGAATCCCAGCCGCTAAGCTTATAGCTCACCCCCATTAACAATTTTCCCAGCTGCCTATGCTGGTATGGTGGGAAGACACAAATGCAGGCAAGGTTGTTCGAATCCCAAGATAGCTTCTCCTTTGAGTAGAAGCCAAGAACGTGGTAGTTTTCTGGATTGTCTGGGTCGGTAAAGGTGAGAATATAGTATAGGAAGGTCGCGACATCGAAGAAGACGGTCTTGTGGTCAAGAAAGAGCTTGGCGAAGAGGGATAAGTTCTGGCCAAAAAGCTTGTGTTCCTCCCCATCGACCTCCCATACCGCATAACCACTATGATCATATACCTTCGTACCGGGCGGTTTTGTTCGATACACACATTCTCGGGTGTGTTCTGCAAAAGCGACTCGGTCACAGGAATACCGGAAGCACCACCGACAAACGTGAAGACACTCGGCGTCTTTAGCAACCAGGTCCTCCGGGTAGATAGATTGGTACCATGGCTTGAACAGAAGGTCTCCTAACACTACACTCTGAACATTGCGGTCACCAGGACTCTGCAGTCGTGACGAGGCTTTTTCGGTGGTCATTGAGGCTGGGTGTGGATCGCTCGAATGGGGTATGGGGGTCGTGCAAGATTTAGGTTATGAGGCGTTTGGTATAGAGGGTCGTTTCCAGTGGACCAGCCATTGGTATTTCCCGGTCGATGGGAGTTGTATGAACAGTGAGATGTAAAATGGCGTCGAATCAGGCGCACCTTTAGAAATGCTCTCTGGATTGAAGGAGTAGACACCTTAGGTTTGCAAGGGCCGCAAGGAAATCGCTGAGTCAGCAAATACAGCCGGACCGACAAGATTGTCTCAATATTACTTTTTTTTGTCTTTCTAGGTGGCTTTACAGAGATTTTCGAATAATATATTGGAAATGAGCAAGAACACATCTTGAAAGTCATTGAGCAAAATATTCCCGAACAGGTTGAGAAGGACTAAGAGAACGAAGTCTTTAGGTCCAAGATAATCATCTCCTTAGTCAGGCGGTAGGCGGGGAGAGCTCCAGGTTCCGTATCTTATCCGCTGTTGCCTGGGGATGTGAAATGTCAAGTGAGATCATCCTCAACTTCTTGCTTTCGCGTTCACACCCCTCCTTTTCAAGAGTCTTTGTGCCAGGCAACAGTCGTTTATCTCATGACTTGTCCTGATTTCTCTTCCTCCATCCACCTCCTTTCGTGAATCCCCAAGTCCAAGTTATCATCTCCCGCTGCTTCTATTCCATCCGTGTAAATCGTCGATCTGGACTCAGGGGTTCACAACGTTGCTCCCATGATGTTGAAGCCCTTCCAGATCAGAGACCTTCACGTGTCTTCATCCCCGGCCCACGGAGTCAACTCAGACCTTCCAGTCTCTCACGGAGTAGTACAGATCTCAGCGGCCGACTACGACGATATCGCGTCAAGCCATCCTCGAGCGAGGCTTGCTTACATTGACTACGAGGATGATGAACAAATCACAGTAAGCTCACATCGCAAGTATGGTTTTTTCTATCATCAAATGACTAACTTGTATCTATAGGTCGGGTCCTCTCTCGAGCTATCTGAGCGCCTAGACGAGCCCGTCGACATCAATGAACGCCTTGATTCCATCCATGTTTCTCGTGAAGAAGCCGAAACGATGCATCGTTTTGATATTCGCCGATCAAATTCTGTGCTCGAGTTGTGGAGGCGATTTGAAAACACATCCAACGAAGCGCCCAAGGACGCGGAAATGACGAGGGATACCTCCACTACTGCAGAGACTGCAATCAACACCGTCCAACCCGTGAATAAATCAGCTTCGGAAGATATCACTTCCCCAGCGACCGCCCCCGAAGAAGATCCCCAGCCTCTGATGGCCGCATTCGAAGCCGAACTTTCCAATATTCTCGAGTCCAGTGAGACTTTTGATACACAAGCTCAAGGAACTAGATCTGAGCCCGCCCGTGAACCATCTGCTAACATCAGCTCACATGGGATCCCTCCCGTTGTGGAACAGTTTATGGCTCAGATGCTGCAACAAATCTGCGGTGGAGTCGGCGTCATGCAGACTGAGTTGCGAACAAGAATTCCTGAGCTGCGGCATCAACTGAGTGAGGCTCAGAGGGAGCTTCCAGAGAACCTTGCTACTTCACTGCAGGCCCTTTTCACACACCTTGAGGCTCAGATGAGAACCGCTTTTAATAACCTGCCCGAAAATGGAAGACATATGGCAGAAGAAGCAATTCAAGCCGGCAAGCCTGTTGCTGAGACCGCCGTGGAAAGTCTGCGGTCTTTTGCTACTGATCTGGATCAGAGTACACGAACCTTGTTCGCGGCATTTGAGAACGAGTTTGGCCGAGCCGGGTCCCAGAACACAAGCACTACGACTGGCAGCTCGAATGCTGCACCTGGCGTCTTTTTCACTCCTCCTAACAGTGTGCCTGTCCCGCCTGTCCCCAGTCAGGAAAGCCAGATCCATCCGTCGGACACACCAACGCAACAGAAAGATATCACGGCCTCTGGTCAAACCTCGGTTAGAGACTCTGGATCATCCTATGCCCCCAGACCTCAGCCTGCTTCCAATCCACACATCGAGCAAGAGACGCAACCTTGGAACCATTCTTCTCATCCCCCTCCTAACTGGCCTAGCGATGGGAAGCCTTATGCTCAGCATTTCCAGCCATCCCCTCAGCCACCGAGCTGGGCATCTTTTAATGCTAATCAACCGTGGCACTTGCACGCTCACCCACCACGTCACTATGCCCATCATCCTCCTCCGCCACGTCACTACACCCCGGTTGCATTCCCTCCGTGGTCCTCTGGGCCGCCCCCTATGCCGCCATTCCTCCCGCACGGTATGCAACAGCCTCTCAACTCTCTTCCTCACAACCATACATCGGCTCCTCCACCATATAAAGTACAGACCCATTCCAAAAATGGAGGCAATCACACAGAGACACCTGAGAATAAGATCTTGTTCATCGGAAACGTCGGCTTCAATGTCACCGAAAAAATGATCCAGGATGTCTTCGCTTCAAAAGGGTTCATTGTTGAAGTGGATCTTCCTCTGGATTCCATGTCGGGCAAACATGCAGGCTTCGGCTACCTGCAGTTCCCTACGATTCACCCGGCGATGGCTGCAATGAATGCCCTGCAGGGCTTCCACATTGATGGTCACGCGATCAACCTTGAGTTCAGTGATCAGATGCCCATTGAACGAATTCCTGCATCGCAACCCTCGTCCAAGGCGGCGAAATCAAGCTCGCTCGGCGCTCAAATGGGCAGCTCTCAGAGCGAGAGCGTTCATGTCAGCGATACATCAGTGCCCCAGGAGAAGGCCTTGAGAAAAGAGGAGGTCATTCCTGAAGAGACTGTTGGTGAGAACAGCAAGTGCTCGGTTAAGCGCACGAAGTCTGTTACCTTCCAGGAGCCTGTCTTGTCTGTGCCAGAAATCAGCTCTTCAAGTGCTAATGCTCCTCGGGCTGCCCCTCCCGCATTAATTGATTTGGCAGATGACTCTGCCTCAAATGCTCCTCCTGTCTGGGGGCGCAGTCATTCCCCTCCTCTGAGCGCAGGGCACCCTACAGAAAGGGAAATGATAGATCTAGGAATGAATCGTTTCCCGCCAGTTTCGCAGTTGGATGCTCACCTGCGGGCAAATCAGCGGCAAGATCGTGCATCTGTGCCTCCTCACGGTGTATCCCCTGGAGACTATGCCTCCTTCCGCAGAAATTCGCGATCACGCCTGGACACTGATGCTCCTGTTGATAGTGCCACTGCTTTGGGCGCCAACATGCAGGACCGGCCAACTAAGCTACCTGGTGCCAAAGACTACAATGAAAACTCTAGCAGTGGCGGTAAGCCTTTGCCGAAAGTCAAACGCTCGGAAACAGTGAAGCAGCCTTTTGAATACGCTTCTCCAAACGATTCCACTGCCGAAATTCCTCTCAGACGCCGAGCAACTGAGCGTGACTCGCTCCGTCCTAGTGCCCGACAGAGGGCCGAAATTGATACTTGGGCGCGCTTGGACAGACGAGAGCGCCTGCGTTCCCGACCATCGTCCACTCAGAGCATCCCTGGCAGTTTCCCCATTGAGGAAACCTCCCAGTCTGCAACCACAAACGCTAGTCCAAGCCATTCCAATGGTTTTCAGGATCCATATGCCGAGAGTATCGACAACTGCATCTCTTCGCTTGTCGACATGGGCTATGGTACTCCCGCGGAAGGTGGACGATCCCGAATGGCTGTCTATGCGGCTGCATCAAACGGCAGCCTCCTGGATGCTATCGAGATGATTGAGGAGGAACGGAAGGCATATGCTAGACAGCATCGACAGTAGGATGAATCTGTGATATCCTTGCACATGTGGGCTTCAAATTCCACACAGCTGGATCGTTCCCTTTAGGTCTGTTTGGCTTTTAGCTTTCGGATTTTACGAATTTTTCATGTTTAATGATCTTGCCTCGTTCCAAACTGGATAATAGTCTAGCAATTAGTTAATCTCAATTCATGTCTTCGAATCCTTTCTGCATTATATAAATGTGTAGAACCTGGGGCCCGGTCAACTCCCAGGCTTCTAAAGTCGGTAGTGAACAATCATGAAAAATAAAGCGCTTGAAGTTGGTACATGTCTAGATATGAGAATGTTCATCACTGAACCTTTGTCAATCCCTACACGAGCTCCAGGCGAGAAGCAAAGGCGTCGAGATCGGCGGTCGGCCGAACTCCGCCGAGGATTTTCCCGCCCGCAACCTCCGGCCATCACTCAACCAACACAGCACTATTAACTCAGCCATGCAGGTATGGCGGCGGACCTTCGCCACGTCTGTCGCAAGACTTGGATCTAGCTCAACACCCAATGCACGTCCCGTACTTCTTCGATGTGCACAGATCCTCCAAGCTAGCAAGAAGGAGGGACCCTGCAGCTTGGAAGACCAGGAAGTCAAAGTGAATGGATTCATTAGATCCGTCCGAAAGCAAAAAAAGTTTGCCTTTGCAGAAATCTCAGATGGTTCTACTGTGGAACCATTGCAGGCCATCTTGAAGTCGGCACAAGCTGCTGAGTACGTTGCCCCCGGAAGTTGCGACGCGCAGCTTGCTTGTCATGAATCAGATCTAACGCGATCATTGCTTCAGTCTTTCAACTGGCGCCGCAGTCGAAATCTCAGGAATATGGAAAGCATGTCCGCCTGGCAAGGAGCAGACACATGAGCTTCAGGCAACCGATGTGACTGTTGTCGGAGCATCGGACCCGGAGGTAAGCTTTTATTGCAATATCCGCGGAGAAGCAACCTGACTTTCGCATCTCAATCGCAGACGTTTCCAATCCAAAAAAAGTATCAAACTGTCGATTACCTCCGCCAAATCCCCCATCTTCGCATACGAACGCCGTTCCAGTCGCTTCTTGCCCGATTCCGCTCCGAATGTCTATTCCAGCTAGGCAATGTCTTCCATTCAATGCCCAACGGTGGGTTCACACAAGTTCAGCCTCCGATAATCACATCTTCCGATTGTGAGGGCGCAGGCGAAACATTCACGCTTCTTCCGCGGGGCGCCGCCGCGCCTTCCGACTCCGAGACCGAGCATTTCTTCCGAGCACCGAAATACTTGACCGTATCGTCGCAATTACACCTCGAGGCATATGCCGCCGAATTGGGCAATGTCTGGACGTTAACGCCCGTGTTCCGAGCAGAGAAGAGTGACACCCCGCGTCATCTCAGCGAGTTCTACATGCTAGAGGCTGAGGCTAACTTCATGTATGACTTGGATTCGCTCACGGGTTTGGTGGAGAATATGCTTCGTAACTTGACCCGTCGGTTATACGAGAGTCCCGTTGGACAGGAGATATTGTCAGCAAAGCGGACTGGCGAGTCTGGACAGGAAATCAGCCCAGATCAGCCGGCGAAGGATCTACGTCAAAGATGGATTGCCCTGATGGACGGTCCTAGATGGCATCGCATCACATACACTCAGGCCATTGAAAAACTGCAGCAGGCGGTTGCAGAGGACGGTGCCTCATTTGAGCATCCTCCGACATGGGACGGAGGTCTACAGACCGAACACGAGAAGTACCTTGTCGAGGTGCTTCACCAGGGCAGTCCGGTCTTCGTTACCAACTACCCCAAAGCCATCAAGCCGTTCTATATGGCTCCATCGCAGGTCGGTGAGAACGAGAGCACACCAGGAGAGACGGTCGCCTGCTTTGACCTGCTTCTCCCTGAGGTCAGCGAAGTCGCTGGTGGCTCTTTGCGCGAGCATCGCCTGCCCAATATCATCCAGAACATGCGCGAGTACGGCCTGATCAAGAAACGTGCCTCTACGGACCCTGACGCTCCAGCCCCTACCGAGCCGTTCTACCCTCACCTGTCCCCAAGCGAGGATCTGGGCCATCTCCAATGGTATGCTGACCTCCGCCGTTGGGGCTCTGCGCCCCACGGAGGCTTCGGACTCGGATTTGATCGGTTCCTGGGCTACCTGTCCGGAGTTTCTAGTGTCCGAGACGTTGTGTCATTCCCACGGTATTTCGGCCGAGCCGATTGTTAAAGCACGACTGGCGAGTGTATATAAAACTGTACTATAGACCTAACAACGAACACCCAGCATTGGCAAACGACTTGCTCTTCTAGTGCCGTGATGTGTATGCAGCAGGTCTATAGGTATAGGGTACCTCCAAAGATGGCAAGAGCCAGGACCATTAGGCCTAAAGCCCGGCCCCATCACACCAACACTCAGGTGAAGCTTTCACAGCAGGTCGTAAACTACCTTTGAATCCAGTTTCACTACAGAAAGCATGGCCTAACAACAGTCATCCGCCCCCATCTCACCCTGACACGACTTTCCGTTTCACGTCGAGTACCAGGATCAGCGACTCGAAACCAAAAGCCGGGTATACGATTCGTTACTTGATCTCAAGGGTGCATATTCCACGCGTTTCGTATAATTCTCAGCGGCAAAACAAGTTTTAATGAACGGGCCGAAAGGGCCGCCCAAGGGGGCTCCCAAAAACGGCGGATCACGAACGCTTGGAGCTTCGAGCGATCGAGGACCAGGATCCCAGCGCTACGGCTGCAGGGGGGGGCGCATGGGGCAGGGGGCGGAAGAATTCAAAAGGGCCTTGCATGGGCGAGACTCAAGACAATTGGCCCCGTATACGAAGGTCTATTAAAAATAGGAATCCATGCGAGCGCCGTGGGCGAGCCAGGGAGGCTCTCACGGATGTATAGAGCACATGTATAGCTCCGGGACTCGGACCGGTCCAAGCAAGGCCAAGCACTCTAGTGTGCTTGGAGGCGTCCACGACCGAAGGCAAAAAAACGGGGCTAGCATGGCCCCCCGAGTAAATAAACTCAACTAGGGAAAGTAATCAGTAATCAGTAATCAGTAATTAATTTTTTTTTATTTTTTTTTAATTAATCCAGGACCGTAGGTTTCCGTCCGCCAAAACGTGGTCCGTGGGCCGGCTTCGCCGGTCAATACTTTATTTAATGGACAAGCTCGCCTAATCCCTGCCGAGCTCCGTGTGGAGACACTCTGGAAATTTTCTTGTGAAATTATGGTATGGAATTATGAAGTTGGGTCAAGACAGATCGGAATGTCTGCCTTGGAACGACTTAATCTAATAGACTTCGCGAGGAGGTGTGCACGGCCATGCAAATCAGGAGTCCAGGATCGGCGGGCCAAAGGGGGACCCAACCTTACCGGGGTTAAGCATAAGCTGGATATTCGGGCATTGTCCGAGTCATGCCTATCCCTGTTCTGATGTATCATAAATGATGTAGTCTGGATTGCAATGTGAAGTAAAGTATGAGCGATGGAAAAGATGACTTGAGAAACGAGAAAAAAAAAAGAAAATAGTAATAAAGGCAACGATGTATGTAGACAAGGCAGCCCCAAATGGAATCCTCGTGACTTGTAACTCGTATTACTGTAACCCCTTCGTATTCGGCTGAATAAACTCCCCGACGCATAAACTCAAAAAATGCAGCGCCACATGGTTTGTGCTGATTTCTGCTGATTCATGTAAGACTCCGTCGGCTGGTTGCGCCACATTAGGATTTTAGGATTTTAGGTATCGAACATCCACGGTTCACTCCCCTAAACCTGGATTCCGTAAATTTAGGCTTGCCGATGACAGTTGCCACAAACCAGGACGGCCTAGCCCCTAAGCCCAAAGCCAAGAGGGGGACCACTTGCCCTCTTGGCGAGCCCAGGCACCATTCACGCTGCAGATAGCTCTCTTGGCTGATGGAGGAGGATGACACTAGTGAGTTAGGTAGTCCAAGGCACCAACGTTCGGGAAACAGAAAGCACAGAACAGTACACTCTCGATGATCCTATGCCGTGGATAGTCTGATTTGTTCGACTGAAAATTGGTCACGGTTTCAGCCCCAGCACATTCCCCATTTGAACAATTCACGGGACACCTTAATTCTGTCGGTGGAGATAAGCTCGTGCGACGTTTCACGAAATCACGCCTTGGCAACCTTTAATTCCAGGGTTGCAACCGTGCGTGACAATACATGACGCGCAACCATATCGCGACTAAAGTTGATCGGAATGCCAATCGTGTGCTGGGGCCCATGCAGGGGCACGTCATCGCCCAGCGTCGGGGCCTCCGAGGGGGCTTATTAGAGGGTTGTATTCCACAGGTCACTACGGGCGGTACGAAGCTGTACGAAGCTGTAATCTACAAGTATCACATCTGATAAATGCAGCCGGACCCAATAAGGCGATCTTCAAAGATCAGAGGTTAATTGTCAGGATAAACCAGGGTGATCGGGGTGCACAGTGACCGAACGATCGGAATCCGGTGTAGCCAGTGCCAGTGCTAGTGCGACTGCATAATTATTAGGCCTCCGGGCAGTATCCGTATCCGTCCTTCCGTCAAGAAGTAGACACCGTGTTCGAAAGGAAACGCACGGCCACCCGGACATAAGGTAGTGGAAATGCCGAGTGCCCAGTGGAGCCATATTCATGGAGAAAGCAAAACCCGCAGTTGCAGACAATCTCGAACCACGGTCGGCTAATTCTGAGTCGGCTTGGCCCGCAAGGGCTTTTTGACTTGCGGGTACTTGATATGCTTTTAGCGAGCAGCGGAGACGCGGCCCACTACCAAAATGCCTCGGATGATCGGATGCGTGTGTGTTGGGTTATTCTTCTTTCTGTCGGTTCTGTCCGGACTACGCATTTGGGGGGGGGAGAGATGTGTGGGAAAATTGTGTGATAGCACGACTTTATGCCTGATTGGGGGGCATCCTAGCATTCCCGGCCCCGGGGACTATGTCCTTATAGATGCTAGTCTCGTTACCAAGAATAAACCACTGTTGGCACTATCCAGAT